TCCTTAAAACCACACAAAACTACAGGAAAACTACGGGAAACCTGCAGGAAACTTGTAGGACTTTTTTTTTAAACTACAAAAAACGATCAAATACTGCAGGAAACTTCACAAAACTGCAGGAAAACTACAGGAAACTTCCTAAAACTAAAGGAAACTACAGGAAAACTTCACGTACGTCCATCTTCCCATTCAGACCACTCGGGGTCTGGATCCAGACCACAGACGACCTCCTTAAAACTAAACAAACCTACAGGAAACCTGCACGTAACTTTACAAAACTACAGGCAATTGTAGGGAAATAACCAAAAAGAGAAAATCACAGGAAAGCTATAAGAAACTATCAAAAACCTGCAGGAAACTTAACAAAACTGCAGGAAAATTACAAAAACAACTACAAGCAACTATTAGAAAACTGCAGGAAAACTACATGGAACTTCCTTAAACTACAGGAAACTCCAACAAAACTGCAAGAAACTATCAAAAACTGCAGGGAACTTAATAAAACTACAGAAAACTGCAAGAAAACTACAGAAAACTGCAAGAAAACTACATGAAACTGCAAGAAAATGACAGAAAACTACAGGAAACTCCGACACAACTACAAGAAACTATAACAAAAACTACAAGAAACTACAGTTAACCTGCAGGAAACTTCACAAAACTACAGGAAACTTCCTAGAACTACATAAAAAACTTAAGGAAAAGTGGACCACTCCCTGGAGTTTTCTGGAGTTTTCTGGAGTATTCTGGAGTATTCTGGGTTTTCTGGGAATTTTCTGGGCTTTTCCGGAGTTTTTGTTTTGTTTGGTAGTTTTCTGAGATTCTCAGGAGTTTTCTTGGGTTTTCTGGAGTTTGTTTGTTTGTTTTCTGGAATTTTTCTTAAGTTTTATAGAGTTTCTGGAAGGGTTTTTTGTTTGTTTTGTTTTGCAGTTTTCTGGGCTTTTATGGAGTTTTCTTGGGTTTTCTGGAGTCTTTTTTGTTTGTTTGTTTTCTGGGCTTTTCTTGGGTTTTGGGAGTTTTATAGAGTTTTCTGGATGTTTTTTTATTTTTGTTTTTATGTTTCTGGTCTTTTCTGGGCCCCCATCGGCCGTCTGAGTTCCTCCGCTGCTGACAGGCCGTTACGGCGTGATTTCAGGCGACTTCATTTGTTTTTTTATTCTATTTTTCCTCTCCTGTGCGGCGCCGTAAACATAAATCACAGCCGGCGGCGCCCGGAGCTCATATAAACGTCAGGATAGACAGCGGAGCTCATAAACCTCTAATTTGATCTTTACTCATCTGGGACAAAGCCTGAATAAAAGCTCACCTAGTAAATCATCATTTTCTGCTTCCTGTCAACACCTCGGCTCGTTAGGCCGCTCCGCCTCTGATTGGCTGCCTGGGCCCAACCTCGTTAAGCCCCAAAACTCAAACATTACAGTTAGCATCACCATGTAATCAAAATTGATGACTCTCTTGGTGCGTTTAAAGCCACTCGGTTAAAATCCTATAAATCAAATTTGCCTTCAAATGGGAATAAAAGCTACTGAGTTATGCGACACTAAACATTTCCCCCTGTACAGTTCACAGCAAAGACTGTTTATCCGCATCCAGATCATCCTTCTGCCTCTCACACCTGAGCATATCCGG